AGATGTTCTCTATGGTGCAGTGGTAGAAGGTCAACAGTAGGTTTTCATTCAGCTGTTGTTTTCTGAGAAGTCTCAGGTAGTATAATCTCTGGTGGGCCCTTTTGACCAGTGCTGCAATGTGAGCACCCCAGGTCAAGTCCTCTTTTATGGTAACACCCAGAAACTTAAAACTGGTCACTTGCTCTACTTGGTCTCCATTGATAAGCAAGGACTGGATGTCTGATCTGTTCCTTCTATAGTCCACTATAAGTTCCTTGGTCTAATTGGTGTTGAGGACCAAGTTATTGTCTCCACACTACGAAAGCAACCGGTTCACCTCATCTCAGTAGGCAGACTCATCCCCCATGGAGATGTCCCACCACTGTTGTTAAATAGGTTTTAAAAGTTATAATACCAAATCCAACTTAATAAAATGAAGTGCTTTCTCCTTTTTGAAAGAATGGCAATACCAGTAATCTTTCCCCCACCACATTGACAAAAACATCAAAAGTCTTGCTGGCACTTAATACCCACTACTCATGTTCAAACAAAACTATATTTCTCTCATAGTAACATCCTGGTTGATTCAACTTGGCTGGGTTGGCAGATTTCAGGTTTTTCCAGTTAAATAATATTCTCTACTAGACCTTTAATGTGCCTTCTAAACAGTAATGCCTGCATTCGGTAATGAGATTTCCTCTGAGATCTCAGAGCTCCCATTTCTGATGTTTCAAAGGGCTTTGAAGACCCGGTTCTTCACCAAAGCTTTTGGCAAAAATGAGTGAAGGCCCTTTTGCCCTATGTGGTTTAGTGGTACCTTGATACTCATCATTAATTATTCCAAGAAGTGCAACAAGTACTAAAAATGACAGGTACCAAACAAAACAGTTGGTCTTTTCTTTTAGCCAGGAAGGAGTTCCTGTCTGTATCTTTTCTTAGGTCAGTGACCTTACCAGCATGGTTGGCTTCCTGTTTGCGCTCTGCAGCCGCCACCACCCGGTTCCTTTTGCAGAGACCTTCCTGGCTTGGCCAACTTCCTATCTGTTCTCCATGACCATCCCTCTCTTCATATAGCAGTTAGTCGAATACCAAACAAGTACCAGGACAACATTTTTGCATCAAAATGTGTTGAGTGTCAAATTCAATGAGTTTGAAGCAACTGAGTACCAACACACCGTTGTATTTATTTTGTTCCCCATTAGTTGTTATCATTTCTCCCATTTTCACTGTTTATTTCTAATAAACATATTTTAACTATTTTATTTTTTCTAGTTTTTATTTATTTTTTTAATCAGTAATCACCTAGAATCTTTGGGAATTGGGCACTGTATAAATTTAAATAGGCTCATTACAGATGATAATTATATTCCATTATTTTAAAAAAGTAATTAATTTTTACCTGAAGGCTCTTTTCCATTTGATTGTTCATGAAGCATACCTACTGTCATTAAGACAATTATAAGTACAACAATTGGAATTCTCCAAGATCCTGCTGCAGAAGCTAGAAAAAAGTATGTATCTTTTAAAACAGCCACATTTTTTGTAGATAGATATTGTCAAAGATGATGATAATGTTAGTCAAGCTATATACTTATAAAAATCATAGGATATTAACAACAATTTATAATAAAGCATTTTCTTGTGTTTTGTATTAATTCTGAATATAATAAGATATGCTATATTCAAAATTAATACAAGATGTAGGAAAATGCTATCTAACTTTCTATTTACAGCCAGTTTGATGTAGTGGCCGAGGCACCAAGCTTAAAATTGGAAGATGGTGAGTCTTATAGGCACAAAGCATGATGGATTACCTTGAATTAGTCACTTTCTCTCATGCCTAGAGAAGAATCAAAATTAAAAGACCTCTGAAAAACCTTGCCAAGAAAACTGCAGAACTTGCCCAGAAAGGTGCTAGGACTAGATGGCAGGTACTGATTTCACAATGTATCACCCCCTTAAAATTGCAAAATTAGGACCTAAGTATTTAAGTCTTGCCCTCTCCACAGACATCAAGCTCACCTAAATCCCAGGCAGTGTACAAAGTTAAAGTTTAGCCTTGAGATTTTAAAAAGTTATCCATATATTTACAAGGATGAATATATACAAGAAAAAAATACAATAATTATGTTCCCATATTACAATAGACCATTATTTGAATAACCACCTCATTCATATATAACACTGAGTCATGAATTATAGTTTACAAAACACAATGGGTAAGGTGACATATAATGCTAGATTAAAAGTAAAAAAATTATCTTAGCATGATGTATGAACCCATATATTAAGCTTTAAAAAGAATGAGGACCTTCAGAATTTAGAAATTAAGCATATTCAATCAATTCTTATCTTTGTTTCATGCCAAAATATATTTAAACACGCTAGATAACAATCATCTACTATGGCTAACATCCAGCTAACTTTCCCATTTAACTTTCTAGTTTCTAAAATCTACAGAAAAATTTCATATTATATAACATGTATTCACTCACCCAAATGAAATAGCAGCACAATCCAGAGGGGAACTGATATTGCTCTCAAGTAACGCTCGGTGCTTGGGTTCCATCTGAATAACACAGTCAACAGATAGCCTGCTATCAAGGTCCATATCTGAATATTTAAAAAGGAGATGGAATTTGAGTATAAATCTCTAACCGAGTATTATATTAACTTCAATTTACCAGGACTGTGCACTAGAAACCCATAAGCTAAATTCAGCCAGTGTATTCCTAGGAGTTAAATAATTGTTTCATCTTTATCTTCTTCACTTGGAAAGAATATGGTTTTCCATTTTAAATGACAGTTATTAATTAAATAATTTTCCATGATTATACTCTTGCATTTGCAGTTTCTCAAGTAGATATTCAGTATTTAATTAATAACATTTATAAAATCATAGAAACTGAAAGAGATGCAAGGAGGAATTGGGTAAAAGCTAACACTGGGGATGTACAATCATAGAATTATAGGCTAGAAGGGACCTTAGAGGTATTCTAGTCAAACTCTCTGCCTAGGGCAGGATACCTTATTCCATCCCGGACAAATGGTTGTTCAACCTCTTCTTGAAAGCTCCAGTGATAGCGTACCCACAACTTCCAGAGGCAAGCTGTCAGACTGATTGTTCTCACTGTTGGGAAATTTCTCTTTATTTCCAGGCTGGCTCTTCTTCTGGTAAGTTTCCATCTAGTGCTTTTTGTCCTGCCCTCTGGTGTTTTTGGAGAATAAACTGACTCCCTCTTCCCCATGACAGCCTTTCAAGTATTGGAAGATGACTATCATATTAATCCATAAATGAAAGGATAAATTTTAGCATCTCCATAGAGTAAAGAATAAATACGTTAAAAATAAATGCCTATCAACAATTTGTGTCTGAACAATAAGCAAATAGAAACATGGTTGTTGTATTTGTATACATGCACTTATGCTACCATCTCTCAACTCACACCTGCCCTCTGTAACAGAATATGTTTATTTCAATCAGAATAGAGCTGGAAGGGACCTTGGAGATCCTCTAGTCCAACCCCCTGCTCAAGCTTGCCTGTGTACAAGATAAGCATTTGGTACCAAAACAGCTTGCATACATTTTTCTAGTTCAAGGTCTATTACAATCCCAGAAGTCTGTAAGGATGGCTTTCCAAAATGGAAGCACTGAACATCCAAACATTGTAAATTAGGAAAAAGATGTAAGTATAAAGATATTTCAAATGAAAAAAAGGAACTTAAAACTAAACAGGAACTAGAAAATAAAAGAGCGGACCTTGCATGGTGGCCACATCTGCAAGTACAATCAAGATATGTGAAAGATGCTAGAACAGGGGTGTCAAACTCAAGGCCCAGGGGCCGGATCCAGCCCATGAGGTGCTTAGATCTGGCCCACGGGGATGCCCTGGAAATAGTGAAGGACTGGCCTGCGGTGCCTCTGCCAGCAAAAACGGAGCTTGTGAGGGCCATGTGTGGCCCCCAAGCTTCGTTTTCACTGCCAGAGGGTTGCAGGAGGCTGTCCCAGCCAAAAACAGAGCTCAGGAACCTGTTTTCGCTGGCAGAACACTCAGGCCACCACAGGCAACAACCCCGACACAAGTGATGTCATTCTAGCCACACACACCCTGGTGACACCTCCCCAGCCCTCCCAAGGTCAAACACAGCCCTGATGCAGCCCTCAATGAAATTGAGTTTGACACCTCTGTGCTAGAATATATGACTTTTATAAAAAACCAACAGCATTTTATCGGATACTTTTAGGAACAGATGAAAAATTAATAAAATATATATATAGCTACTTATTAAGCTTTAAAATGAAAGATGAACAAGTGAAATAAATAATGATAGTATGGGCAAAAAACTTTGGATATACAATAGAATTAGACAAACGGCAAAAACTTTGGGGTAGAAATTATAAATTGACAATGGAAACTACGTGTAAGGAAAACTTATATAAAAGGTTTTACAGGTGGCATCTGCCACCAAGAAGATTAGCAATGATGTTCAAATACATGTCCACCAAATGTTAGAAATGAAATCAGATACCGGGCATATGTGGTGGACAGGCCCAAAGGCTTAAAAATATTGGACGAAAATACATACATGGTTAGAGAAAATGATAAAGCATCATAGAGATTTAAAGCCAGAAATATTTCCGTTAGGTATATTACCAAAAAATTATGATAAAGGGGTTGTATATTTAATATTACATGTGTTGACAGCAACAAGAATTGTATATTGGGGAAATGTGGAAATTCCTAGAGATGAAAACATAATTAAAAAAATATTAGACTGTGCAGAAATGGATAGGTTAACATTAAAGATAAAGGATAAAGAAGATACAGAATATTTTTAACATGGCATTTATTTTACAATTAGTTAGACAATAAAGGTAGAAATTAGAAGTTGGAAGAATACAAGTAAATACTGTTATTATTATTATTATTATGTATAAGTAAATTGTTTATTATAATATGTATATTATGACAACACATAGTTTATTAAGCACTCATGTATATTAAAGAAAAATGCACAAATAAAATTTATAAAAGAAGTCTGTAAAGGATGAAATCTATTACTATAAGATTCCTAAACATTGAATATCTATTCTGAAAATATAAGTATTGTTATGAAAAGAGGATGCATTAAAATTAAAGAAAGCATTAGAATAGTTAAAAGAAACTAGAAACAGCATTGTTGCATTTATATTTACTATAGTAGTGTTTTCAAAAACACCTATTGTAAATCCAGCTTTTAAAATCTTTTTAAAAAGAGTAATTTATAACTTTTCTGTAATCCATTTAATTCCTTCTACAATATGTTTCTTGCTTAATTTATTCCATTTATAACATTATTTAAATGAAGCTCAATAATTATTTTCAATTCTCCTTTCCTATAGATACATTTATACTTATTATCTTGTAAACAATTGGCAAATCAAATAAATAAATAAATAAATAGATTGTCATGCAGTTCTCGATACTTTCAAGAAGCATTGACATTTTTAACGCCTTTCAATACAGTGATTCTGAAGTTTAGCAGATAGTTTAGGGTAGCCTTAGTTCAAATTGCGACTTTTGAGGCAAAATTCAAGACGCTACTGGTTGAACTCTATCGTTCAAAAATCCCCACGCGTACGTCCCATTCTCCGAAATATACTCGTAATACTAACTCACGTGCGTTGGACTAACCAACTGGCTGAGCCAGACGTGGTGGTTGGCTAATGTGTAACTCGCTCTAGTGAACACATCCACTTACGCCACTACTTCCAAGAGATTGAGTATAACTTACCCAACGACTACTGAAATAGTTTAGTCCTTGGCAAATGAGGCTGGCGGAATACTCAAGAACCACCTGGACCTCAAAGGAGGTACCGATGCAGTATACTCCATACAAAACTGGAGCTCCGGCACTCAAAAGAAGAAGAAGCCAACGGCGCCGCACGATCTCATTAACCAAGGTTTCGGCGGCCGCATTAGCAAAAGACAGCGGCAATAAGAAAGTAGCCAAAAATACTGGCGTGTTGGAATGGCGGAGGCGACGCAGCCACCGACGCCCAAATGCCGTGAGGGAATTCTTAAACGGGTGCAAAAAGGTGCCGCATAGGACAGCCCACAGGAGTGGGCGCAGAAACGCTTCGAGGATAAAATAAATGAGTACCCCCACCCCAAAGCATAGTCCCACCAGAACCAGAGCCCCGGTATTGTAGAAGGCCTGGCGCAGCGGTTTCTCCAGGCGTGGCAATTGCAGAGGCGGCGGCGGCGGGTAACGCTGAGGATCTGGGTCCAGTTCAGATTCTGATAGCGGACTCGAAGAACCATCACACTTGTGTTTAGCCATATCGCTAAGCCAAGACGTTAATATTATTGCTGTTTCCTACATTTCACCATACCCGCTTAGAGAAAAAACCACCGCACCAACCGCAGAAAAGCAATGATTGCCGCACTGAATCCTGGGGAATGCAGTTCCCTGTGAAAGCCAGTAGGCATTAATGTTCTGGGGACGCTGGCAAACTTGGCGTTTGGCTTGAACATACAGAGCCTGGAATGTGGTAACTGCTACCCGTCATGTATTGCATGTATTTCGTATACCTGCTTTATTTAAAAAGAAAACGCTAACAGTAGCATTATTTTTCTGTTGAAGGTTGACAGAATCCTGTCCATTTTTGAGTATATTTTATCCAACTGATTAAGAAGTTTTGTGTCATTAAATTTTATTTCATTTGATATTTGTTAATTGTTATCATTATTATAAATTGTTATTCAGGATATCCAGAGGCAAGTATAAAATATGAGACATGGTCGACATTGTATTCTTTTAACTTTGGTAATTTTCAACTAATGCATAGAAACTCAGAACAGCTGGAAGGGACCTTGGAGGTCTTCTAATCCAGCCCCCTGCTTAAGCAGGAGATCCTATACCATTTCAGACAGTGGTGGGATTCAAATTTTTTTGCTACTGGTTCTGTGGGTGTGGCTTGGTGGGTGAGGCAGGGGAAGGATCAGGGGTGGGATTCAATTTTTTTTTACCAGTTCTGTGGGCGTGGCTTAATCAGTGGGCTTGGGTTGGTGGTCATGTGACTGGGTGGACATGGCTTGGTGGTCATGTTATCGGCTGGGTGTGGCCAACTCAATATCACATCAAGGCCTGCATCTCTTCGTCTGGCCTTTCATGACTGTGGGGATGCTGCAACAGTTGTAAGTGTGAAAAATGGTCATAAGTCACTTTTCTCAGTGCCATTGTAACTTTGAATGGTCACTCCACACAAGCAAAGTACCAGCAAACGAGGGAAAAAAAGCTCCAGAGAAGTTCCTGTGACAGGAAGTCTAGTCCTATTAAGAATGTAATAAGGGTTAACGGAGAGGCAGTTTCTATAAGCAACACCAGAATGTTTCCTTCCTGCCTTCCTTACAGGATTAGGCCAGTAATTTCTTCTAACAACTGGTTCTCCGAACTGCTTAGCATGTTAACAACTGGTTCTAGCGAATAGGTGCGAACTGGTAGAATCCCACCCCTGGGAAGGATACTGTAAAATCTCCAGTCAGAGGTGGGATTTGCCCGTTCTCTGAACTACTCAAAATTTCCGCAACTGGTTCTCCAGAACTGGTCAGAACCTGCTGAATACCACCTCTGATTTCAGACAAGTGACTGTCCAGTATCTTCTTCAAAACCTTCAGTGATGAAGTACCCACAACATCTGAAGGCAAGTTGTTCCACTGGTTAACTGTTCTCACCGTTAGGAAGTTTCTCCTTAATTTCAGTTGATTTCTGTCCTTTATTAATTTCTATCCATTGTTTCTTGGCCTACCCTCTGGTGCTTTGGAAACTAAATTGACCCCCTCTTCTTTGTGGCAGCCTCTCAAATACTGGAATACTGGTATCATGCCCCACTAGTCCTTCTTTCAGTCTCCGCATGCCCCATTTTTGGCCTCCACGTACCCCATTTTCAGCTTGTTCTGATTCCAGATTCTCTTGTTCTTCCATGTATGCATTGTTCCAGTAGCAACTTATCATCAAATTTTCCTGGTGTCCCCAATATTTGATACAAATCTTGTAAATCCAGGCAATGTATGAGCTGGCATAACTCTCCTAGTTCATGCCACTCACATATTTCTGAGGTAGACAGGTGAAGCTTTAGGTCTGCCCAAGGTCCTCTACTGGTAAGGTAGATACAGCCAAGATTTGAACCCTGATTTCTGCATCAAAGGCAGTGCTCTAACTACTATGCTATCCAGCCAATCAATATGTATAAAATTCAGAAGTGCAGATGGCAGCTATGGCCTGGAGGGCTTTGTATATCTTAGGGTTGTGCCCGTTCCCGTATCATGTGGCCTTGTTTAAAATCACTCATGCCCTTGTGACCTTTCCTCTCAATCAAGGGTGGGATTCTACAGGTTCGCACCTATTCACTAGAACTGGTTGTTAACATTCTAAGCAGTTGGGAGAACTGGTTCTTAGAAGAAATTACTGGCCTAATCCTGTAAGGAAGGCAGGAAGGAAACATTCTGGTGTTACAGAAACTGCCTCTCCATTAACTCTTACTACATTCTTGGCAGGACTAGACTTCCTGTCTCTGGAACTTCTCTGAAGTTTTTTTTTCCTCCTTTGCTGGTACTTTGCTTGTGTGGAGTGACCATTTAAAGTTACAATGCCACTGAAAAAAGTGACTTATGGCCGTTTTTCACACTTACCACTGTTGCAGCATCCCCACAGTCATGAGAGGCCAGGTGAGGAGATGCGTGCCTCAATGTGAGTGATGTTGAGTTGGCCACACCCAGCCAGTCACATAACCACCAAGCCATGCCCACCGCCTAAGCCATGCCCACAGAACCGTTGTTAAAAAATTTGAATCCCACCCCTGCTCTCAATTACTGCAATCTATTGCATTCTACATGGATGTGTCATTGAAGAGCATTTGGAAGCTTCAACCTGTGAAGAATGTCCTTTCTCAACAAGTAAATGGTATCTGTTATTCATGTAAAACTATATGAGCTGCATTGGCTGCCAGTATGCTTTCAGATGCAATTCAAAGTGCTGGTTGTTACCTCACAAGCCCTTATGGCTTGTGACTGAACTACTTAAGAGACCATCTTCTCCCAGCCATTTCTGGCCAATTTGATTCAGCAGAAAGAAGGTTAAAACTTCTCCTCCCTAGCTTTTCCCAGAGTATATCTGTGGTTATGCCAATATTTGATTTAGTCTGGCAAGATTTTGTCTGTAAGTGAAGAAATATAAAGGAAGTTAGTCTTGGTACTTGGGCCTGCCATTTTATGAAGTACACCAATCACTTGTAGAGATGGTGAACTATAGAATTCAAATATACAAATAACAATCCATATTCATGTGTGGAGGGAGGACAAATATGCACATTTAACAAATAACATACATTTATTTTATAGCAATAGTCAGCTTTTGTAGAACACAGGTTTCCTTTATTTTATAGCTTGTTTCCAAGTTTAACAATTTCCAGGTTAACAAGTGTATCTTTAATGAACAAGTAACTCTATCTGGGGAAGAAAGGGGAAAGGGGGGAAAGAGAATTGAGAATTTAAGACTTTAAAAAACAGCCAAAAAAGGGAAAAATAATGTGAAAAGTGGATATAATGTTGGAAAGCAACAGAAGAGGGGAATATAGAAGAGGGAAATGGAGGCGGAGAGACAGGGGGTAAAAAGGGGAGAGAGAAGAAGAAAGGGAAGAAGGAAGGGAAGAGAAGTTGCAAAGGTTTGGAGAAAGATGTAAAGAAACAGGACTTATTCAGAGATAATGGGTGAAAATTTAATTGAAAAAGGGATTCTGTAAAGGTACATAAGATTGTATTGTTATATTTGTAATAGAAATAATGTTAGAAAATTGGAAACAACATATGATTAAAAAGTGGGATAAAATATTTAGTGTAATTTAGTGAAACTTTTGTGAACAAAATAAATGAAATAAAATAAATGAGAGAATTGAATTAGGAAGGAACGGGAACATTTTAATTACTCAATGTTTTATAAAAAATAAGTGAAGTGGTGGGGAATTAACTATGGAAAGTTTATAAGTGTTCCCATAGAAGTATGATACTTATTTGAAAAGTAATGTGTAAAATGTTAAGATTTAAATGAATATTAATATTAATTATAGAATTGAATTGGTATGGATTGTTGTTTTAATTATATTATATATTTATAATTTTTTCTTCTTTCAAAATATAGTGTGTAGCTTTAGAATGTACCAAGCAGAATCCGAACGGAAGTTATGTATTATATTAAGTGTTATAATTTTAGGGGAAAGATATAAAGGCGTCATACTCCAATCAGTGATTACAGGAGAAATTTTGTTTAATGAGAAAAGATAGTAGACAGTTGAAACAGGACAGACAAAGAATATAAGTACAATGATTCGAATTGAGATGAAATAAATAAAATAAAATTAAGAAAGTTAAAAGAGGGGAGAAGCTATATAGAAAATGTAGAATAATAATAAGATATAGAATGGAATATAAAAATGAGCATGGATTTGAATTTGTGTCTGTACGAAGAGATGTAACCCGGGATCATGCTGCTTTCAAAAAAGATGTTTTATGGTTTTATGTTTTGTTTGTTTATGTTTGTTTTTAAAAACCAATAAAATTTTAAAAAAATAAAAATTTAAAACTAATTATAAGAATCCTTCCCATGGATTGTTTAAAATCCTGTTAAAATATATGAAGGTTTTGAAGGTAAGACTAAGAAATATTCACATAGGAAAATGTGGAAATGTAGAAAAACATAATAAGAGGAGAAAGGATGAACACTAGAAGCAACCAGAAAGAACTAAAAATATAATGAAGGGACAAGGGACCCAGTAATACAGAATGGAGAAAAGTATGTTAACTTTGGAAGAATTCAGGGATTTTGGCAGCAGTACACTCAGAAATTTCTATTAAGAACTACTGTAAAGGTAAGTTTAAAAGTGGAGATAGAAGAGGATACAAGTGAGAATCAGAGTTTTGGATATGGATTTAAAAAGACAAGATACAAGAAATATACAAATGAAACCAGCTGATGTCTCAATAACTAAACAGGATATACAAATAATAAATTTGATGAATGACTTGGATAACTTATTTTCTTTGGATTAAAAAAATATATATACTCATGAATTACTATCAAATATGCACAAAACTATGTACTATATTTGGCTGCTTCTCATGGAATATAGACAGGTGTACTTCAATATGGCTTTTAGCCTCCCATTTCTGTGCCTGCTATTCCCCTTCATGGAAGCATGGTTTCAATCTCAAATATGTCTTCCTCAGCTGTTCATTTGGTTGCATTGCATCCATTTCAGTGATGTCCAATCATCTTGACTACCAATAAGTACATAGCCATACCCATGTAGACATTCAAGTAATAATTAGGAAGTGTTTTGCACGCGCGCACACACAAAAGTCATCCTTTGCAGCTGAAGCCTGGTTATGACAATAAGATCTGATGCTAATACAGTAGTTCGGCTGAAGTCTTGCAAAGGGTGGAGTAGAAGACCAGAAGAGGCGGTGGCGACGCGCAAGAACTCTTTCGGGCTTAAGAACTGCCGCCATGGCCGCATTTGCAACAATCTTGTCCTGGCTGCGCTGGTGCAGCTTGTGGATGTTGCTTGTGGCGGCTTCCGCTGCTTCCTCTTGGGCCATCGCTGCGGACGAGAACACCGGCTGGGAGACAAGAT